GCTCGATCGGACCACGGACGAAGCGGTATCGGATGTTTGATAAAATCTGGGCAGAATAGAAAAAAAAACTTGTGCGACCCAGTTACTGTTCACGAGTACGAATCACTGTTCTCGAGGTCAAACTCTGATCTCCACCGTTTAGATTGTGCGTCACTGAGTCGTGAACCTCTCCTCCAAATTTCAGCTCGATTGGACCACGGACGAAGCAGGATCGGATGTTTGATGAAATCTAGGCAGAATGGAAAAAATATGTGCGACCCGGTTACTGTTCACAAGTACGAATCACTGTTCCCGAGGTCAAACTCTGTTCTCTACCGTTCAAATTGTGCGTCACTGAGTCGTGAACCTCTCCTCCAAAATTCAGCTCGATCGGACCACGGACGAAGGGGGATCGGAGCTTTGATCAAACCTTGGCAGAATGTGAAAAACTGCGTTTTTCCTTCTCCACTTCCACAAAACGTGTGCTTTATTTAAAAAAAACCCTACACAGACGTCTACCTTATACTTATAGAGTTTTCCTAAACCCTAGGTTCATTTAAGTCCAACTCACAATCCTAACCAGCCCATCCAATTAACGTAGAAACCTACGACGGCTATAATATAAAACCCTAATTTATACTGTAATTAAAACCCTAGTTAGATGTATTTACCTAATTACCCTATTCACCATTAAATACTTAACAAATAATCTAATTGAACAAAATAACAATTAGTAAACCCAATTAAACCAAATAAGACACACATAAAATAAAACACATATAGAATAATTAAACCAATTACACTTAAACCATTAATACCAATTAAATAATTAAAACACTAGCAAGTAATTCCAATCAAATAACTAAAAATAAATATCATTTAAATAAATTAAATCACCACAAAAGAAAACAATTAAGCACCTAATAAAAAAATAATGACACATAATCAAATAAAATGCACTTAAATAAGAAATTAAATACCATTAAATACCAGGAATATCCTTTTTAAAATTAGGGGTATTACAGGAAATGTGTAAACAGGTAAGTCGAGGTTGCTCTTTCAGAGAGTACCCTTGAGCGAGCCAGGGAGGGAGGAGCCCATCCGACTGGAGCGGGGCGCGTCCACAGTAGAGGAAGGGTAGAGACCTCTCCCTCGGCCAGTGAGTTCCGTTATTGGATAAGTAGCTTGAGAATACCTAATCCACCGTGGGCACGCCAGGTCAGCACTGGCTGTAATACCCCTAATTTTTAAAAGGATATAACTAGAATTTCTTTATTTATTTTATGTGCATTTTATTGATTAGTTGATTTATGTGCATTTAAATATGATTTATCTGGCTATGTGTTTAAGGGTTTTTATTTGCTTAATTGATAATTGTGTTTGTTTAAATTCATTGTAATTGTTTTTAATTTAATTATTGGTTAATTTAAAGTTTTTATTATTAGTGACTTAATTGACGTGTAGTTTTTGGTAGCTTATATAATTTAGGTGTGTTGTATTTATGGTTTAGATTTAGGGTTTTATTTTCGTGTAGTCGCCGACTTAAATTAGGTTTTACGTAAATCTTATAAATATACGGTTATATAATTTGACTTAAGGTTGGGACGTATATATATAAATCTTATACGTCTGCTAGGGTGAGGAAATTAAAACTCAATTCACGTAAGGGTTTATGAGAGGAAAAACAGAAAGGTTTCTTGAGAAGGAAAAACAGAGGGAAATTGAGAGAATCAATTAGGATTGCAGCCATGGATTGAAGGTGGGATCAAGGAAGAAAGAGTCGATGGCTTGTGGAATAAAACTGAAACAGTGGGAGAGTTGCAGGTAGTCTACAGTTCATTGCAGAATTTAGCAACGGCGATGAAGGTTTCAAACCGGAATCTTAAGGCAAGTTTCAGTCTATTCCACTCCTGTAAACTTGTGTTCTATGCATTCTAAATGGTCTCCAGGAAGTTAATTAAACATTAAAACGGATGTGTTATGCATGATTAAATCAAACTGTAATCTGTAGTGTGCCTTTGTTTAAACTGTAACTATTTCGATTGTGGCTAAGCTTTTGTCAAAAAAATTCATAAGGGATTTTAAAGAGTTTCTATGACTGTTTGGATCTAAATTAGAACCTAAGAAGTTCAAAAAAACAATTCAGACAGAGACTTGGAATTTTGCCGGTTTTAAATAACTGAAATCGGTTCGTGCATAAACTGTTTTGGATTATGTATTAAACTTCTGTAAATTATTTTCCTAATGGAATGTGAGGAGTTTCTAGGATTGTTTAGATTTAAATTAGACCCTAAGAAGTTTAAAAACAATTGGGACAGTGACTGGAACCTTCGTCGAAAGTGAAGGGGATGAACGGACGAAGCAGAGGCAAGCAGAGACGGCTCTCAGGGAGAGAGCCAGCTCCCAAATGATGGGAGCCGGCTCCCATGAAGAGAGAGCCGGCTCTTCATGAGGAAGAGCTGGCTCTAGAAGCTTAGGAGCCGGCTCCAAGGGTTTCCAGAGCCGGCTCCCCTGGTTGTTAACACCTACGGGTGTTTTCAGGCGGTTTTCTGGGTTTCAGGGACTTGGATGTGATTTTGGGAAAGTTGTGGGAGGTTTTAAAGGTTTAAAATTAACCTATTGAAGCTTGAAACCAGTTAGTATAAGTTAGTGTGCTAACCTTAAAAGGTGGATCATGAAAAATAAACACGTGATTATACATACTGTTAAAGAAGAAAGAAGGATTAAGTTGTTAATTTGTTTAGCAACCTAAACGAACTGTGAAATTTCTTATTTGATGTTATATAATGGATGTATATAACTTAATAAAGACCAAAAATATTGGTTTAGGATATGGTTATTGACCACATGAACTTTAGATGTTGAGTTGCATGCTGTCGGGAGTTGTAGAAGCTTTTGTTGCCAGTTTGGATTTAGTGATCTAAATGGACTGGTCTAGAATTTCATATAATGTGCTCAGCTCATATTTTCTGTGTATCATTATGTTATACTCTGGGATTATTGGAGGATAAATTAGACGTCATGAAATTTAATGTAATATGTTCAGGTTAAAATTCTGAATATTATTATGTCATGCTATATAGGTTAATTGAGGAACTGCTAAATTACTGTTCATTCAATTATGTGGATATGGATGATTTAAATTGTTGATTATGCTTTAGCAATTTAAATGGAAGTTTTATGATTATAATCATATACTAGATGCATAATAGGATTTTAATAATACCTGTTTTCTATTATGCTGGTTCATGGATATACTTGATGCTCTAATGAATGTGCATCACTGGTGAATCATTTGCATTATATGTACCGGTATGGGACGGTGACATATTAGGGATGGATTAGATCAAAAAGCTAAGTCCTACCCCTTCATACATACGGAATGGATTAACTAAAATAGTTAAATCCTACATGGATGCATGTCCTGTCAACTAAAATAGTTGAACGACATAACGGATGTTTATTTTATTTTTCTGCATTAGGAAAGAATTTATATATATATTTATGGTACCGTGATACGAGCTTGAGTCTCCTGATCACGGTTAGGGTGCGTATATTGCAAAGGTTGAGTAGCTAGATATAACTACCGTTCCCTGGTAGGTCTAGGTACTTGACCGCTGAAAAGCGTGTTTTATATGTCACCTTCTACCCAGGTTGAACTATGTTATAGGCTAGTGAGCATCATATAGTGTGTATATATATATATGGACTATGGTAGATATTGCCGAGCTATCAAGGATGTATCTGCGTATCGGGTTTATGTACGGATTGTAGTAGATTGGAACTTGCATGTGGGCTTGACCCACTTCTATTTTTCAGGTATTCGCCAGTACCAGGCTTAGAGTTTGATCGTGTTGATGCAGATACAGACACTCACTCTTCCAGTTACATAAGATTTCCTTTCTATTTTGGTTTTGGATTTTAATTCTGTAAATTTATTTAAAGTTTTGGAATTAGGGGTCCACTAGGTGGATTCCCGAGTTGTACGGATTTGGAGGATTTAAATTATATTAAATTATTATTTAAGGTTTGAGGATTTTCATATTAGTTTCTTTCAGCGCATTATTCTTTATTAGTAATTCAGTTTTTTTTCTATTTTATTCCTGTTTGTTTACATATTGATTGTTTGGTATCCCTCGGATCTGTGCTCGGACTTGATCACCCGTGGCTCTAGAAACGAGGGGTATCACACTGGCCAGTTGTGCCTATGTTGCTGAGGTGGCGCCACTTAGTGAGCTACCGTGGCGCGGTCATCAACACAAAACAATAAGCTCTATTTCTAGTAATTGGTAGTCTCCAAGAAACCATCTATCTGATTTTTCTCTGCTTCGTTCCACTTGTTCACAATGCAGCTTCCAAAGAAGATAACTGAGAGAGCGGGTCGCGGTAGTGTAGTTGATTTCTTCAGGTAGCACTGCACTTGTTATCGTCGTCAATAAACTGGGAAAAAAATGCTGCCAAAAGGTCGAGGTTCAGTTGAGAGGGTCGAGTTCACAGCATGTAAGGGGAGATTGAGTACAAGCTTACCAACCCTATCCAAGGATGGTTCAGTTGTAAGAGCAGGAATTGCTTGCTCTGACAAGCCAGCAACTTCGTCAGACGAGGAATAATTTAGTGGTAGGGCCACCCTGGCATTCAGTTGATCCAAATGGAATCACTGGAAGGTGAGCATAGCATCAAAACACCCGGTACACGATGGCCTGGGCTACACCGCTTTTCACCGCCTTTATGCCCCTACTTGGGTCACAGGCCCGCGTAACCAAACTAGGCGCTGAACTAACCCAACCCATGTTAAGATAAAGACAATAATTGTTTTAAAATATTCTGATGTGGGAATTGAAAGGTTACTATTGTCTCTCTCACCTTCTGATTTTCCTCCCTTCACCACCAAAAGCTGTGTGTGTAGAAGCTAATGTGTTGATTTAATTATGTGTGTGGTGGAGAATAGTTTCTCTATAGACTCGAAGCTTGTAAACCACATGGTCATAAAAAAACATACGAAAACTGGTTAACTATTTTACCTTTGATCTTGCTGAATATGACCCTCTTGCAAAAAGACCAGATGGAGCAGTCTCTTCTGGCATCTCATGTATGTAAGGCTCTGACTGAGGACTAAATGTTCCGAGCATATGCTTTGAGCTATCAATTGAAATGCACACATTAAAAGCTTTCATTAACACCGGAGTTTAATGTTGCATAAATTGAACCTTAACCCTCTCACACACACACACACCACACACAGAAAGAGAGAGACAGAGTACCCTTGATACCAGTTTTCCACACAGTGTTGGTGTACTTGAGGCCACAAACAATGTTATTGCTGACCTGAATAGAGAATCTAAGATTGTAGGGGATACCTTCTTTCAAAGTAAACCATAAGCCCTTTGGGTTACCAGCCTCGGGAACTGGAAGAACCAGACCAGGTCTACCGGGTGAGAGGATGCTGAGGCTCAAAATCTTCACGTCTGGTCTAGAATTTCTATGATAAACCAATTATAAAAAAGCCTTGTTATTCCATTTGTAAATTAAAACTTAAAACAAAATTAAGCACAAATAGATTTTTGCAATTTATAGACCACAATCCCTCATAATTTTTATTATTACCTGTTCCATATGTAGAAGGAATAGGATATCGATGGATGACAAAAACTTATTGATAGGGAAAAATAAACCTATCTTGACCTAACGGTTGAGGCAACCAAGTGTTGACCAGCCGCCAGATCTTTTCGGTGATCAACGATAATATTTTATTAGTAGAGGTAACGATTTCCATGGATAAGAATAATAACAAATCTTATGCAGGATAAGATTTCCATGGGGATGATGAAAAATCTTATCAAATATAAGATTTCCATGGGATAAGTACCATGGGATGAGGATGATTAAATTCCTTTTTTGAGAATAAGGGAAGCGACGATAAATAGGACGACGGCTCGGGAATAAGATACGACGAAAAAACTATTATTAAATTCCTGCCTTCTTTTTAGACCTCTGGTGACTAACTTGACTGTCGGAGAGTTCTTGGCAGGTACCACACCGGTGCCTTCAAGGTTCATCGATCTTCTCTTTTCTTCCTTGCAGGAACACGGTGTCGTATCAGACTGAATTTCACCCTCAAAAGTTGGCGCCGTCTGTGGGAACGACGATTCCCTTGAATCAATTAATTATTCTGTTGGGTATATACGTTTGCAGTCCGGTTGGTTACCCAAGGAACACCGTCGTAGGAGTCTGGTCAAAGGGTAGAGTCGGGTGAAAACCTGGACGTCCCAAACGACCAGCCACGGCTTGTAGCGTTAGAATTGCAGGTCCAAACTCTGAGTCAAGGTATGGACCAGTTGATCCAGCAAAATGCAGCACTCTTGCAACATCTTATTCCATCGGTTCAACAAAACTTGCCACGACAAGATCTCTCAAATCCAAACGGAGGGAATGGGAATCTTGAAAAGCAAGATAATCATTCCCCCCAAAATGAAACTGAAGTGGAATAAAGCCAGGTGGGAACCCGACATAGAGAGGTGGTCCACCCATCTCTCCCACAGAGTTCCCGACCTCTTGAAAGCACAACCTTCTGTCTTAAGGAAAAGACAAAGAAAATTACCTATCTCGACCTGAAGATCGAGGATCTCAATGGGAAAATGGAAGATGTAATGCAAGCACTGAAAGGGAAAGGTCATGCCGCCGTAGATGACCTAGTACAAAGGACCAACTTGCCGTTCAGCGCCGCCGTTATGAAATGTCCACTACCTAGCAAGTTCAGGATGCTCTCGTTCGAAAGTTTCGATAGGACCAAAGATCCCCTCAATCACCTGGAAGATTTTCAAGCTCTTATGCATTTACACGTTGTGCCAGACGAAATCATGTGCCGAGTTTTTCCTACTACACTTGAGGGATCAGCAAGAGTTTGGTTCAACAAACTGAAGCCAGGAACCATCAACACCTTTGAAGAACTGAGTAAGCAGTTTGTGAGCCACTTCATTGCAGGTCAGAGGCATAGTAGGCCAGCTACCTACCTGTTTACCATGGAGCAACAAAAGGAAGAATCGATTCAGGAATACATCACCCGATTCAACGCAGAGATGTTACAGGTAGAAGAGGTGGACGACAAGGTAGCTTTGACCGCTTTCATAGGAGTAGGGATGGCAATGGGGGCGGGTTTAGGCGGGTGTACCCTCCCCCGCCCCCACAACAGTTTAAAAATCTTTCCCCCGTCCCCGCCCAAAACCACAAAAATAGGGATACTTTCCACCCTATCCCCCGTAACAATTTAATATTTTTACCCCCGCGGGTACCTGCCCCGCCCCGTTTAAGACTATAATTTATTTATTGTTGAAATAGATTTGCTCTTTTTTTTTCCCCCTCGTCTTCAATTATTCACCATTGCAAATTTCTTTTCAGTCAAATTTATTTTTTTACTTTAATTTGTTATATAGGGTACTAAATATATAGTGGGAAATATATATACTAATGAAATATGGGTACTTAAGTAATTTTCCTATCTCAACGGGGCGAGGCAGTGCGGGGCAACCTCCCTACGCCCCCGCACCAAACCCGTGCGGGTTTTTATTACATCAAACTATCTCCGCCCAAATAAGTAAAACAGTCCCCCAAAACCATCAAAAACGATGTGGGGTGGGGCGGGTAACCACGGGGGTAGGTCAAATTGCCATCCCTACATAGGAGGACTCCAAACCTCTAGATTCTTGTTCTCCTTATCAAAAGAACCTCCTACCAGCATGATAGAATTGCTGATCAGAGCGCAAAAACACATCAACACTGAAGACACCATGAGTACACGGAAGGAAGGAGAGGACAAGAAGAGGCCAGCCCTTCTCGCTTGGGATGAAATTAATACCAAATATAAGAAATCGTTCTTCAGCGATAGCACATATCATAAGAAGGACTCAGATGAGTATACCGACTAGAAATTGTCTCACAGCTGGAATTAGCCTTATCAAGTAATTCACAATAAAGACTTGGGGCATCTTAGTTAATCATTTTAAATGGAGGGTAGCTCCCTCACTTGTTATCTTGTTTGTAATAAGCCTTGAGGCAATGATGGTCTTTAATAAAATTCTTTTCAGTTGCCTTGACTCTTGGTCAATTATCTTTATACGTACAGTATCCCTGTACTATAAGGGATAGTAAATGAGTGTCCTGTATTACAAGGATCCGGGCTGAGTGAATCCCGTAATCCGTATTCCCGTACTATAAGGGATAATAAATGAGTGTCCTGTATTACAAGGACCCGGGTTGAGTGAATCCAGTAATCCGTATCCCCGTACTATAAGGGATAGTAAATGAGTGTCCTGTATTATAAGGATCCGGGCTGAGTGAATCCCGTAATCCGTATCCCCGTACTGTAAGGGATAGTAAATGAGTGTCCAGTATTACAAGGGACCCTGGCTGAATGAATCCCGTAATCCATCTCCCCGTAACATAAGGGATAATAAATGAGTGTCCTATACTACAAGGACCCGGTTGAATGAATCCCGTAATTGATATCCCCTTATAATAAGGGATAGTAAATAAAAATCTTTTACTAAAGAGGTGAGCTGAGTAAAGCTCGTAAAATTCAATTCCCTTATTAAAAGAGTGACGATCTGAGTAAAACTAGTACCCAGGGGCAGAGTACCCAAGAGTACTAAAAATAGTACCCAGGGGCAGAGCACCTCGATTACCCAAGGGTACTAAGAATAGTACACAGGGCAGAGTATCCAACGGTACCAAAAATAGAACCCAAGGGAACAGTACCCAAGGGAAGCGTACCAAAAAAAAAAAAAAAGAGTGTTACTATTCATATGAATAGTGTAATACCCCTAATTTTAAAATGCTAGTCCTGGTATTTTAGTTAATTATTTAATTGCATTTTTAATTTATTTAATTGTATAATTACTTGTTTATTTGAATTACTTGTTTTTAGTAAAATGAATTACTTGTTACTTGTTTAATTGTGTATTTAATTTACATTACTTGTTTAATTGTTTTATTAAATGGAATTATTTGATTTGTTTGCGTTAATTACATTATTGGATTTAAATTGTGTGATTGTATGTCCTTAGGTGGTTTATTATAATAATTATAGTTGTTTAATTAGGTAATTAAGTTAAATGAATTTTTAAAATACGTTCAATACTTAGGGTTCTTTGTGAAGTCACGTATATTGGGCGACATAGATTTTAAATAGGTTTTCTATGGGCCGACTAGGATTTAGTGTAAGGTTTGAATCGAACCTAGGTCTTGTGTAAACCTATGAATATAGGTATTAGGTTCTGCCTAGGGTTTTAGAACCCTATTCACGACAGTGGAGGCAGAGAAGGAACAGAGGAGGATTACCGTAGTTCCCCGGAGAAACTTAGGAAGACGACGCTGAGGTTTTGAACTGAAAACTCATAGGCAAGTTCTAATCCTAACTCTATTCCTTAGGCTTGTGTTATTTTCATTTCTAACACAATTCCAAGAATCTATAAAGATTAAAAGTGGATTTGTTTCCATGTCTCTGTTGTTTTCTTTTAACTGAACGTAGCATGGGTTGCACTGCTTGTTTATAATCTTTTAAATGTAACTCGTAAATTAATCCACATAACTAGATGTTTAATTCATGTAAACTAATATATCAAGAGTGAAATTAGTTTTTAACACTCAGAAAGTATTAACATTACACCGGTTCACATGGTTGAGTTTTTCAGAACTGTGTGTGTTCTTGAAGGGAAAACTGCTCGTTCTAACTTCTTGTTGCATAAATCTTGTTCTGATTGTTGTCAAGGAGTTACTAAGGCCTTAAACTGTTTCTGGATCACACTGAGATATAATTGTAACCAGTAGTAGCCTTAAAATTTAAGATGGATGCACCAAACGTTGCCGAAGAGGTCACAATTGGAGAAGATGAGCAGTTTAGGAGCAAAGGGCCAAAGAGACGTCTCCACGCAAGGGGGAGCCGGCTCCATCATGGTGGAAGTGGCTCCACTCAAAGGGGAGGCGGCTTCCCTTGTGGGGAGATGTCTCTTTCTTCCTCTGTTGGGTTTTTGACCTTCTGGGTTGATTCCGGATTGATTTCTGATGCTACGGGTGTGTTTAGGAGCTGTAATTGGGAGTTTTGGTTGGGATCTAGGATCAAATAAAGTATTCAGAGGGCTTGATAATGCATGATAAATCAAGTAAGGTTTGCTGTCAGAACAGTATATAATTTTTAAGTAAAAATTAACAGACTATTTCTGGACTAAGGATTTAAATTGCACAACCTTATGGGTAGCAGTTCATCTGTGAGGGAGTTATGGTTTGTTCATGTGTCTGTAGTAAATTATAAACATGTTAGATTACAGGATGATTGTATGCTTATAATGGATAAAGGGTGAAAATATACATTAAGTGTGTCATCAGTTCCTGAACAATTGTGTAGTATTATAAGGTGAGCATGTAAATCTGTATATTCTGATATGTTATCTGTAATAACCCTAATTTCAAAAGGATAATAATGGTATTTACTTTAT